TAAAGCACATTTGTACATTCATTACCCTCATCATTCTCAAAACATTTGCTCTCCACCTAAGCTCTTGGCATCAGCTCACATATTCATATATTTAAATAATATATTATTTCACTATCTTCCTATCATTCTATCACATTCTATTCTTAAAGGCCAGTGTCTGGAAAAAAAGGCTGACATGGCTGAGGTGCTGAATTCAGAACACAGGTTCTCTACCTCGTTCCCAGCCCCATCAGACTGGGCACTGTGAATACACTGGGCTGACATGGGCTCAGAAATCTCTAGTTGACTGAATTCTCTGGCTCTGATGCTCAGCTAAACCTTAGCATGACCAGGCAGATGCAGGAGAGCCCGACAATTTATATCGGACTCAATTCCAGAGAAAACCCTCATTGCTCACTTGAATTTGGCATTGAGAACAGCAGGTGTGAGGGCCATCTATGCTTACTGTTTGAACCACAGGAATGCACTCTTAGAAGATATGGAGTATTCTCTTCGGCCACGTGAACAGAGAAGCAGACAGAGGAAATGGAACAAAGCTGATTTGTAGAGAAAAATCAAACTTCAAAAATGGAATGACGCAATCAGATGTTTCCCTTATGATTTTTTCAGACCTCATAAGCCTGGACACCTTTCCAGCCCTTGGGCTCCAGATAATACCCGTTTCCCTTTAATGCACCCACTGCGTGTCCCAAGTGATCTTCGATTGTTTTCTGTTCAGAGGTATCCAAAGACTCTTCAGTGAAACAAAAGGCAAGGACAAGGTACCTTGGTAGACATGTGGATATTGGCTCCCTTCTCCAGAAGCAAGGTGACCATATCTGTGTGGCCCTCCTGTGAGGCCAGGTGAAGCGGAGTGACTCCTTGTTTTGTCACAATGTTGGTCTCTGCTCCGTAGTTCAGGAGGGTGGAAGCGATCTGCATCTGATTCTTCTTAGCAGCAATATGCAGAGGGGTGTAGCCATTCTAAAAGTCGCAACACAACACACAGATATTTTAAGGGTAGCGATATGCCAATACATATCTCAGAAGGAAATAAGACTCTCACTGGACCAAGAGTTTAAAATGAGCTTATGATTAATCCAATGGTTACCCATCACAGGTTTTTATCCAGCAACACGTAAGTCTTTTCCATCTATGTGACAGGGCATCTCATATTATTGTATGGTTGTATCTCATTTGAGGGAAGTGCTCCCATCACTAAAATTCTCCTCCTTTAATAAGGGTTCTTCCAGGAAAAGCAACATCAGATCCAGATAGGGTCCTTTTATACATAATCAACTTTTAAATACTTCAAGATAGTTTTTTAATTTTTCAGACTGAGCTTCACCACCCCACCGCACCCCCACCCCCAACCCTGGATCTTTCTAAAAACACAATTTTCAGTCCCCTCAATGTAAGGTAACCTGTTTGACCTGGTTTTAGCTTGTCCATTTGTCTAATGTATATGGTGCTACACGGGATGTTCTTATTCCACTCTGGTTTAATCGTGTAGAATAAAATGGATTATTTCTCCCATGATCTTGTTAAATACTCCCACTAACATGCTTCTCATTAGATTAGTGTCCCTTATACATTAAGTAAATATTTATGGAGAAATCAACATGGACAAGGCAGTACACTAAGTCTAGTGGTAAAAACTGTGAACTAACCAGACCAAGAAACTTGTCTTTAAGGACGTACAATTCAATGGAAATGATATTTGACAGTGAAGTTGGAGTACATTAATCTTAGCCCAATTCAAATCTTAGCTCTGCCCCTTTTCCTTACAACCTGCTACTTCAAAGTCAATATATGAGATTACTCATTTTGCATAGAAGTTAATAAAATAGAGTAACTCATATTTTACATACAAGAGCCAAACTTTAAACTCCATACTTTTTAATAGGAAACCAAATGATAAAGAGAAAAAAACATTCTGAAACAAGTGTAAGCCTACAGCTTTTATATTATATTTTCTTTTAAAACCTTGCATACTTTTCCATGAATAATGTGCAATAAAAATTAAAAACGGTGCGTTCATCATGAACTGTAGCGTGCTGGAGAAAGAGGATCAGATGGTTTGCATGAGAGGTGTTTTAAGGTCATGCAATTTCACTAAATCTTACTACAAAATATACCGGAAAATAAAATCTAATTCTAAGATATTCAATGTCATTATGCACTATCATAATGACCCAAGTCTTGTCCTCAAATAGGTTTACCGTATCTACTCAATCTGCATTGCTCCAACCAAAAGTAAGCATCTTCATCTCAGACAAAATGTATTTCACAAACTCTAGTTAAAAAAGGAAGGAAATCCTGCAGCAATCCTTAGATTCTGGTCAGAGGCCCCAACAGCAACAGGTGCCCTAAAACTGAGAGGCCATGGGCTCTATTGAATAGAGAGACTCATAGATGGTTTGGCATATGGTGTGTGTGTATATGTGGTAAGTATTGGAGGTGCTCTGTTAGTGCACTGGGTTAATCATTGTCTATAAACTGAAAGGTTGATAGTTCTAACTCCCAAAATGCCCAGTGGGAGAAAGGTGAAGAAGCCATCTGCTTCCACAAAGATGAACAGCCTCAGGAGCCCTAAGAGTAGATCTATGCTGAGTGAGAATTGGCTCTCTAAAGTGCTGCATGTTTGGCCAGATGATTCAGAAAGACATTAACCCAAGTGATCAAAATGCATTAGTTGGTAGGCCCCACTTTACCTCACTGCCGTTGGGTCAGCGTGGATTCCTAGAGACTGTAAGACAGAGCAGAAGCGCCCTGTGCGTTTCTGAAACTCTAGCTCTTTAGGAAATAGAAGGCCTCGTCTTTTTCCCATGGAGTGGCTGGTGGCTTCTAACTGCTGACCTTTGGTTTAACAGCCCGAACAGGGCTCTTTGCTATAGCAGAGAGAGATAATTATTCCTAATAAATCTAATGAAAGATAGTGACACCTATCTACATGAAAAGCCCTCGTTCATGAGTGGTTTCATGAACTACTCACAGTTGAAAGGCAGGTTAGTATGTGCCTGCATCTCAAATTCAAACTCTTGAAATATAGGCCTTCAATAACCTTTTTTATTATTGACCATGTATGGCTACCCACACCCCAAACCACACCCACTGCCACCGAGACAATGTTGACTCAACCTGCCAATAAATAAGACAGAGGAGAACTGCCCCCATTAGGCTCCTAAGTCGGTAAACCTTAACGAAAGCAGACTGCCCCAGAGCAGCAGGGAGGTCAGAACCACTGAGCTTTTGGTTAGTGACTGAGCAATTGTAACTACTGCACCAGCCAGTTCCTTTTATTGTGAATAACACCCAAACCAAACCCACTCCCACAGAGTCTCTTTTGACTTGAAAGGACTCTATGTTGAGTTTCTGGGACTGGGAATCTTCAACAGCCTCATCTTTCTCCCTGAAGGGAGTGGGTGGTGGGTTCGATCCTCCAACCTTGCAGCTGGTAGCCGGATACCGAACCCACAGAACTACTTTAGTGAGTGTATGCATAGAGTACAATAAAAATGTGGAGCCCTTGAAGGAATGAGGACCTACAGGGGCATGACAGAGCGCAGCATGTGGTCTGTAGGAAAGAAGAAAAATGTCAATGGTCTTAATTGCCTTTTATTTCTCCAGATTCAGGCTTCATTCTCTGAAATTCTACACTTAGGTAGTCAGACTGATCGCCACTGGTTCAGGGGCACAGCTTCCTTTATCGTTGCTGCAACAACTGGTAGACATAATCCTTTTTTTTTTTTAATTTATTAAATTTATTTATTTTTTAAACCTTCTTTTTAAATACAAAACATGTCAGCAGCAAAAAGGACTAAGGCCAGGGCTGGTTGCAATTGCACAACGCCATGTGCTTGAGAAACAATTCCCCCTGCAGCCTAGTCTCCATCCTTTCCTGAGGTTCTCACCTTGGCCATGGCATGAGGGGAAGCACCCTTCTCCAGTAACAGCAGCGCCACCTTCTGGTTGTCATAGTGAGCAGCCACGTGGAGCGGGGTAAGGCCATTCTGTAAAGGGTGTGTTATAGTTGCATTAATACATTAGTGCTAGCTGCCCTCATGCTACCAGGATGCATGGAAACTGAAAGGGATGAAATCTATGTTCATAAATTAACTAATCAATTAGTAGAGTCAATAGGCAAAGAAAGAAAAGGAACCAACACCGAGTCATGTTTACCTAAGATGCTTTAACTAAAACTGAAAATACTCTGTCGGGCTTACAATTAGTTAGCAATGTCCACTTTGTCAAATCCACCAACTGATGTTCACTATAACCAAGGGTGTGGAATGCTGGGTAAAGAGACCCCATCCCGGGGGATGGAGGGTCGTGGGCCCTGTTTGGAGAAGCACGAAGCTCCAGGTATACATGCCGCTGAATCTGACAGGGTTTCACCCTATGCACCCCTACTCCCTTTAGATGAGAGAAACACGATCCGTGCCGACCTGCACAGCATCAGACTCCGTACACGTACGAGCGTGAGCCAACGGCACAATGTTTACCTTCCCGGCCGAGTCTGCGACAGCACGGCGCTGCAAGAGAAGCTTGGCCACATCCAAGCTTCCATACTTGGCTGCTACGTGCAGTGGAGTGAATCCCTTCTAGAAGCAAAACAACAAAAGTACAATTTAGTATTTGTTAAAATTTTTTTCATTTATTTTTCCCCTAAGACTTCATAAGTTGTCTCTATCAATTATATTTGAATTTGGATGTCTTGGTTTTGGGGCGTGGGAGTTTCTCCCTTAGAGAAAAAAAAAAAAAAAGGACCATGATCCGAAAAAGGTTTTAGGACTGTAAATTAGAAAACTTTATAGGTTGGGTTCTGGGCCCTCGGACGAGACCACCTATGTCACAATCTGACTTCTGGCCACCTGTGGTCGAGGGACCTAAATTTCCACTAAAGACCTGGTGAGGTAAGTCCCTGAGGGCTGGACTGTCCCTGCTGGGGCGGGCTGTCACTGCCACTGAGTCCATTTCAGCTCCTAGCAACCCTGACGGGCAGGCACAACTGCCTCGGTGGGTCCCCAAGACTGGAACGATTTACCGTCGTGGAAAGCCTCAGCTTTCTCCCACAAAGGGACGGGTAGTTTCCAACTGCTTGAGCTGCCTTCCTGGGTAATCGCAGCCCAATGCAAGAGGCGTTGTAATCTGCTTTTAAACATACTCCGCCTGAGCACGGAGCTTTTTACATAACAGGTCCGAACAGAGGCTTAATTTACATCAAGACTCAGAATGCAATTAGGATTCCCACGGTCCATGTAGCCTCCCCAAAATCAAGGCTTTAGAATTTAATTTCTAAACTGACACTGGGATTCCTTCTTTCCCCCTTGGTAAACTACGCATGGAAATGTCAGCACCCCCATCCCCCCCAAATCCCAAGGTAGTATTTATATTATATATAGCTCACCCTTATACTAATAACATTCATGTTATTTTTCAGCATTTTAAATTAAAGATGTTTACTCTCTATTTGAGGGGAAAAAAAACACTGGTAGCCTTCAATTGGGTAGCCATAAACAAGGGCTAGGATACTGAGTGATGTTTTCCATAACAAAAATTGGGATTGATGGAGTGAACAATTTGGAGACTGACGCTTGGCTTTGTACGTCGGGGATTTATAAAAGCCACTGGTGTCAGTAAACGGACTCCGATACGTGAGTGGGGAAAAGAAAAGCCTGTCTCTTAATATAGTTGAGACAACAGCTGCTTTCCACCCAGGCCTCCAGCCCTTCTTTAACACCTGCATTTAGAATTTCCTTAATTGAATTTTAAGCTATTTTGGCAGATCTATATCTGTGTGTATGTATGTGTATGTATATATATAGCCGTTGTTTTGCATTTTATGCAGAAAAGGCAAGAAAACCAGTGTCCAGAACAACAGCCACAACCATGCTAACCATTAGAGCGCACTCCCTAGCCAGGCCTTGTCCCCCTTCCCAGAAGACCCAGAGTATATAAAACAGCAGTTCCCTTGGAAAAAATACATTCTGCTCCTGGTGTGAGACTGGCAGATTAACACCAAACTGGTAAGCACCCTGAAGCTCTAAAGGGTTGTTCAGAGGTTGTTGTCCTACCCATTGGTATGTACACGCTGGACATCTAATGTACCTAACAACGAGCCACTCTCTGGAACTAACAATATGTTGCAAATACCGAAGAATTCATGGACTCAGATCTAGAGGCTGGCGCAGTTCCTACACCATGATTTCAAAACCATCCTCTTGGCCAGACAGTCGGACCCCATGCTCTTCTGGCACTGCCGTGGGGGAATTTTAAGCTGGCCAGGGCTGTGAACACACCCAGCAATGAGGCCCGGGAGGTGTGGGGAAGTGTGGTTTGTCTTGAGGACCATTTAAACCTTCATTCTAAATACGGACTACCCACCACCCAGCTGTACTAGCCCCATCACAAGGCCACCAGACACGTTTCGACTACGATGCTATTTTTCTCTCTGCGAATTTGTAAACATTTGGTACCAATACGTCGTTGGCGGAGAGTGAATATTCCAGGTTTGCCCTAACGTCCCACCCCCTCCTGCCAAGTGTGGGACAAACGTGGGCATTCTTTCCTCCTTTTGCTCATCTATAGAAATCAGCACTTATTGTGACAGCGAGCCTTCCTCCACCCAATGCACACACTGATCAGGGTGACACTTCGGAAGGAGTAGGGTTCTTGATGACCAGCTCCACGGGGAGGAAGACAAAGTAAACTCCTTGTCCTTTACATCTGTTTTAGCAGTGGCCCAAGCCCTTCAGAGGTCGGGAAACTGATGAGTCCGGACTGCAAAGGATCGTTCATGCAGAATGGCAACTAGAGGTGGGACAGTACCTCCTGAGTCACCCATCCCTGCTTCCCTGCGCTAATCTCACCTGGGCTTCGTTTCCCTCTGATAGTTACACACATTTACATAGCTTTACTGATCATGAGTCAACTACTGCTCACATCCACTGTAAAACAGTTTGGTACAACAAATTTCTTCTATGTTATGGTCCTAATGCTCTATGGCTCTAAAGAAATATTTTTTTAAGTCTAAAAATCCTTTGTAAACTAGGGAATTATATTTTATTCTCTATTTCTGTGTCTCTGCTTGTGTTTCTCACCCAGTCTCTGATGAGTCATAATTATTATCACAATATTTTTATCACTTCGATTTTGAGTTTTAACAACCTCTTATAGCCTTTGGATTTTCAGAGTTTCAAGGGCCATCAGGGTTAGAATCGAAGGAAAAGCCAGCTCAGATCCAGCTCGCAAATTCTTTTCCCCTGAATGCAAGTGTTTGCGCCTGTTCATTATGGACAAATTGAAGCCGCCTTTCTGGTAAGCCAAACCATGGCTGCATTTCTGGAAGTCATTTTGCCTTGTAGCATACTCACTTGTTCTAGGCATTAACTTATTTTATTTTCTGACTCGGCTATATTAGCTCAATTTCCTTTGCTCCAATGACCTGAATATGCTCGTGTTTCAGTCTAAGTCACCTCTAAATGGTAAATCTCAACTCGCTCTACTAGGAAACTTAGAGCCTAAGTGAAAGGGAGGCTGGCGTCTGGCTTCTGTGGACGATAACAATAATATAACAACAATGAAGAAAGTGGGCCTCTCCAGCCCCAGCTTTATTCCAAGGCCAATAGACCCTCGCAGAAGCGTAGCTGGCAAAGATTAGAGGTCGGAATGGCGCAAGGCAAACTTAAATCAAGTATAGTCCTGAATAGGACCACAACTCTCAACAAGCAGAGTGTAATGCCATCGCCTCTTCCTCACCAGTCATATCATTTCAACCAACGTCTGTGAGGGTTGTTTCTCTCCTTCAGCCCCAGCCCCACCCCTGCCCTTCTTGGGAATAGACTGTAGATTTTATAAGGGAAAGAGAAGAGAAAGTAGCCCTTAACTTTGGGTTCAAGTCCTTGGACCCTTGGGCTAGAAACAGCCTTGACATTTTTGAGTAGAACGAAATCCAGCAGTCTTTGCTAGAGTTATTATTATATGCAATATTTGGTCACTTATACCGGGAATCTAAACTATTCAGAGGGAAAGGAGGAGGCCACAGGCCTGGCGGGGCCCAACGCCTCTTGATACTAGTGCAGTATAGCATCGTATGGCACGGGAACACTGTCGGTCCACTTGGTACGGTGCCCTCTTTCTTACCTTGGTAGCTAAGGAATGTGCCGCTCCTGCTTCCAAGAGGACCGATGCGACATCTACCTGGCCCTCCCTGGCGGAGATGTGCAGTGGTGTGTACCCATTTGTAGTGGCTGCATCCGGATGGGCCATATGTTGTAGAAGCAGTTGAACAATTTCTGTCTTACCCAGGCGAGAAGCAATGTGCAAAGGCGTCTGTTCCTCCTACAACTCAAATCAAGTACAAAGTTAGTGCCGGCTCAGACCACATGTCATGGTCAAGTTCTTTCCCTCAGAGGTTCCCTGTCACCTTCTCGTCTTCTCAGAGTCTCCAGGAATCTCTACCCAGAAGGAAAGGACCGCTAATCTGCCCAAAAAGTATTTTATATTTTGCCATAGACCTAACTGCTTGCAAAATCTCCTTTAATTGTTGTTCAGTTTTATCTTTTAAGTATGGCCTTCAACGAATTGGTCATGGTTTTCTGGGCACATTAAAGTCTTTCTCAACTCATTAAAACTTCAGACCTCACTTACATTTAGATCTAAACCAACTGGGAAACTCACAGATGTGAAGGAGAAAGAAATTCAGTCCAGAAGTTCTAAGGCCTAGATTCTTGTCCAAGAACTTTGGCTTCACCAAGAGACAGGCTTTATTCTGGGAATTATTTCAAGAGAAAAAGAATCTGAGATGCTGGAAAACTTTCGTTCTTCACTCCACTCAGCAAGCCAAGGATACAAACACCATGAATAAAGACGCTATTGTAATCTGATTTTAAAGGATGTTCCCGTAACCGTTGCAGATGAGCCTGGGACAGGCAGCAAGGACATTAAGGATGAAATGGGACTCTGGCAAGGAGTAAATGCTGCTAACTGTTTGCCAAGTACTTTTCATGTGGTATCGCAGGGAGGGGATCGTGGGTATAAAGGACACCAGGGTCATGCTGACGGAGGCTCAAGAAATCACCTGACTCTGAGAGGCAGTCAGGGCAAATGGTTTTAGTTTGAAGAGAACCAGACCAAATCACTGTCCCTTGTAAAAAAGGAAATTGCGTGTAACCTTAGTGATGAAAAGGGGTACGGCTTTACAATCTTCCTAAGGGCAAGACAGAATCCAAGAAAGGAGGGAAAAGCTGGGAATGCTTCCAGGGCCAAGGATCAATGGAGAAACAGTAATAGAGTGGCGATCTGTCTGAATAAGTGCAGACCCCTGATAATAGACACGAAAGAAGGCCCTGAAGTGGTGTACTATGAGACCATTTCTAGAGAAAGAGATGAAGAGGAAATAAATAACCCCTTTTTCAAGTTGTCCAGAGTTACTTAGCTATTGAAATAAGATTTGAACGAAAGCATTTTGATTCATCACACATTGTGTATTTTCCCATACAAGCCACCGAAATAGATACAATAAAATGTCTTAAGAAAATTGCTGGGAGAAGGTAACTCCACTGAGAAAAAAGACGTCAGAAAACTTTAGGAGCTTTAACTTTCTCTGAAACACAAGGAACAAGCATCTACAGACAGAAATGAATGTTAAACAAACCATCACCACCTACAAAACACAAGGAACTTGTTAAAAACTGTTGTCTCTGTGTTTCTCTTATTGAACTTCTGCCTTCTAGATTTTAAAGGAAGTCAGGATGTAGCAAAAGCAAACACCCAAACTCCCTGCCATTAACTCAGCTCTAACTCTGAGACAAGATAGAACTGCCCTTGTGAGTTTCCAAGACGACAACTCTTTAGGGGAGTAGAAAGTCTCCTCTTTCACCAGAGGAGCAACTGGTGGTTTTGAACTGCTGACCGTGAGGTTACCAGAGAAATGCGTCACCACTTTAAAATGTGTCTTTAGGTGAATGAGAGAGAGAGAGAGTTGGAGCAATGACAACCGCTCAACTCAACGTTGAAAAGTGGCAATCTTTGGTTGTTGTTAACCAAGGCAATTTTCTTTCTTTTTTTAAAATTGTTTTATTGGGGTTCATACAACTGGTATCACAATCCATACATACATCAATTGTGTAAAGCACACTTATGCCAAGGCAATTTTCAATTGCCATGTCATATGTGGGCAAATGCTAGACAATGACTAAGGAAGACTGAATAAGAACTGTCGCCTGTGAATTACGGTATTGTTGAAGAATATAAAATATACCATGGATTTCCAGATTAATAAATGAGTCTGTGAGCAGTACAGTCAGAATGCACCTTAGAAGGGAGGGTGGTGAGGCATCATCGTGTCATGTCCTTTGGATACGTTCTCAGAAGGGACCACTTCCTGGAGAAGGATATCATACTTGATAAAGTGTGGTCGGCCAAGACTAGGGGGCCCCTCCTGAGGTGGCTGCTGCTACGATGGGCTCAAGTACATCCAGGAGTGTGAGCATGGTGCCCAGAAAAATGACGTTTGCTTCTGTCGTCACTGTGATTCAGAACCAATTCAGTGACACCTTACAACAGCCATGTGTTACATGGGTTTTGAAAACCTCATAACTCCATTATGGGCCCTATGCACGTTGTTCACATGAGTACATTCTACGCAAAAAAATATATGTATGGTAAGCCAAACCCAAATATATATGGTAAGCCAAACTCAAACCAATGCTGACGCTAGGTGATCCCATGAGACACGTACGAGTTTTCAAAAATTAAGAAATCGGCTGCATCACCCACAGTCTCCAGCGTTTGGAAGCAGAACATGCCGAACATCTGAATGTCCCTAAGATAATCCTCCGAGCCTGTAGCCAGCAATGGGTGTTTGGCTGGATCAGAATTGAAAATGTTGGATTTTCTGTCTCAAGTCATAGCAAAAAAATTTTTTTTAATTGGGCAGATGCAAAAATATATGATTCATGGGATGAGCTAAAGAAAAGGGGAGACCTGCTCCCTCAGGTACCATCCAAATACTCAAAGCCAAAACTCCCTCACTCCCTCATTAGACAGCAGATTTAGAAGTAAATGACCTCTGCTTTAGCACCAGAAATATGGCTGTAATTTATGTTTTGTTTGTTTGTTTTTAATTTTCCAAGATATTGTGAGGTTGTTAGTTTATTGTGCCAACCTTGCCGATAAACTCATGTGGGGTTAATTGAAGGGTGGAGGGATAAATGGCTCAGTGAGCCTTGCCTTTCGAATTCTTGGGTCTCTTGCTTTGTGATGACCAGTGTGCACCTGCTTTAGCCAGTTATCTGCTTCATCTGGCAAGGCTCACTTCCTGTAACACATCTCTGAGGAGAAGCCACATGGACCTACCCCGATGCAGCCCTGGGTGCTGGAGCAGCAGTGTGGAGACCCCTGCCAGCGCTGAGATGCTTATACATTCTCTGATTTTCGGCTTCCTCCTGCAGTCGGCGTCATTGTGTCTGTTTTGTGAGGTGGAGGAGGACTTTGTGGATTGGTGTCGGGCATATGGGTTAATGTTGGACTTGTGGGCTTGGGCAGCACTGGGTTGGGATGTTTTCCTGATGTGCACTTACCCTTTAGATAAAACTCTCTGTTGTACATGAGTTTCTGTGGATTTGTTTCTCTAAAGTACCCAGACTAACACATATTGGGACTAGTGAAAACTATGATTTGACACCATTTGTACATAACCACGATGTGTTGTTTCTAAGCCCTGACTACCGAGAGCTGAACCCTGGAGCTCATGTAGTAATTAGACATATATATTTTTACTATCTCCCCTTAGGGAGCCATTAAATTGCAGAGCAACAGAATTAGGTAAGAGAGCTCAGGAACTGCATAATGTGTGTTGTGTGCTGGGAACACAAGAGGTAACATGTAGCAGATGTGCATTGATATTCCCGCCGGAAGCTCCTCCCTCCTTTCTCTTAGAACAGAGTGGACATCCCATCTTCCAGGTGGTTCTAAAGGAGGTGGCCATCGTCTTACTGCATGGGTGGGCATGGGGCCTGGAACTCATCCTACAGCCTGGGAATAGGGATCATTTAAGGCAGGAAATGTGAGCATTTGCTGGGATAGCAGAGAGGATAGCTCCTTTTACTTCTGAAATAGGAGTAATGATGTCAGCAGAGAAGGAGTCAGAACCAACAGAGAAGGAGAAAGGGCAGGGTGGAGGCAAAGGAGAGGAAGAATGGGAGACCTACACAACTGTTCCCTTGAATTGTGTCACGTCTGAAGTAGCTCTATTCTTGAACTTCTTAGTGATGGGAGGCAGTCATTTCCCCCACCACAACTCTTTTTATTTTTCCTGGCTTACACTAGTCTGAGTGAATTTCTGCTCTAGCAACCTACACTGTTCTTAAAATAGAGGGCTTGGTTGCAGGAGCCCATTCTCTTAAGCAGCAACTATGTGAGCGAATTGAGCTGTGTGAGGTAATGGAAAAGGGGACTCAAGTTGGCATCTTGCTGGCCTTGGCGAGTCAGCTCAATCTTGAACTTGAGACTCCTGAGCCACCACGGGGAACAACCACCCTACACTACAAGGTGGTTCTGTCCATGGAATAAAACCATCTCACTCAAAATGATTCATGAACTGTAACTCCAAAACGAATCTCACTGCCCAACAATCTATTTGGACTCAGAGCAACCTTAGAGAACGTAGACCTGTCCGCAGGGTTTCCAAGGCTGCAGATCTCTACAGAAGCAGACTGCTTCATCTTTCTCCTGTGGAGCAGCTCATGGGTTCGAATCCCTGACCTTTCAGTCAACAGCCCCCAAACCCACCGCATCTCCAAGACAACTTAAGAATGATAACTCACTGCCATCAAGTCAAAGAGCGCCCCTGTGGGTTTCTGAGATGCTAACTATTTACAGGAGGAGAAAGCTGAGTCCTACTCCCACAGAGGTGGGGTGGTTTCAAACTGCCCACCATGCGATCACATCCCAACTTGTGACCACTATACCACCAGTGATGATAAAGTACTGTGCAAATGTTAGCTGAAGCAAAGATTTCCACGGTACTATTAAAGATCTAAATTTAAAAATCACAAACTCAAACTGAAAGTAGAACTTAAAGTAGAACAAGTGAAAGGAAAAGCCCTAACTCCTTGCTCTTCAAACTGTACTCCCTGCATCAGCAGCACGGGCACACCTGGGAGCTCGTCGGACGCAGAGTCCGATCTGCAGCATCACAGTATGGCCTGGTGATGCTCACGCCTATTGACTTTTGAGGAGCACTGCTCTCCGATGAATTGCTACTTTGCTTTTCCACAAGAGGGAAGACATTTCACATGTATCTTAGGCTAGATGATAGAGCTGTTTACTGCAAGGTCAGCAGTTCAAACTCTACTGTGCTCCTCCGAGGAAAGATGAGGCTATTTGCTCTCATAAAGATTTTAGAGTCTTGGGATACATGGAGAGGGTCACTGTGAGTTGGAATTGGCTTGATGGCAGTGGGGATGTTGGTATGGGTCTTCAACTCTTACATTTGAATGGTGAAGACCTAGGAAGTGAGGGGGATTTGCATGACATCCCCTCCCCCATAACCTGTAGGTCTCCAAGCAGATACTTGTGTTCTAGTGAAACACTGTTTCTAAAGAGAAGCCATGATGACAAGCCTCATAAGTGATGTGAATTATAGCTTATGCAAAAGAAATCCTGCAGAAGGAAATCAAATATTTAAATACTCCATTTGTGCTAGGACAAGAGTCATTGAAGCAATGTGCGAAGGGGGCACAGGAAGTCAATGCATCCCTAACAAATACTGGATTAGTCAGCATGAAAGAGAAAATCAAAAGAGAATAAACTAAGATACACATACACATACACACATACACACCAGGAAAATGAGCCTGCGGGCTAAGAAGTTCAAGAACAAGATCAGTCTGAAGAAACCGACAGCATCAATGTTCTTCCATTTTTTAAATAGCACAGTACGGAGCAGATGTTTTGAGAATGATGAGGGCATTGAATGTAAATGTGCGCTACACAATTGATGTATGTGTGGATTGTGATAGCAGTTGTATGAGCCCCTCATAAAATGATTTTAAAAAATAGCAGAAATGTAATGTCTAAATATGTGATATCAAAGTTAGTACGGTAGAACTCATTATAGAAAGGTAGAAAGTGACACAGATGAGGAGGACACATTGAAACATGGCTGAATGTTATCTATTTTTAAACAACAAGCAATTACTGAAAAGATGTGATTGATTTTAGTAAAAAATAATTTCAATATCTACAGCACATAGGAAAACCCCTGGGAGCACCGTGGTTGAAGCAGTCGCCCACTAATCAAAAGATCCCCTGAAACCTAATCACCAAGGTCACGTAGCTAATTAAAAATGCCTGTCTTAAGTCTTATGCATTTTAAAAGAACTATCTATAGGGGATCAAACTGTCACCAGCAACTTGTAAGATTCGATGGGAACCTTAAGAGACGTGAATTGATGTCAATGGAGGAGCCAGACTCAGAAAAGAAGGTGAGGATGGTCACGCAATGATTCAGTAACAGATGTCACTGAACATGAGCTGGAATTGATCCTATGGCAACCGGACTCATAGCATCTCTATAATAGTCGTTACACTTAAAGTTGATATTTACGAAGGTGCTTATAGCGATTTAAAAATATTTTAATATAATTAGCACTGTATTTCCTAGATATGAAATCACACGTTTTTCAAATGTCAATAGTTTTTTAAATGGGGTGCACTTCTTATTGTGTACAATTGCTATCAAGTTCCTTCCTTCAACAGTCCTTTTCTTTTTGTCTGAGAAATGTATTGCGTCCGTGCTGTCCCTAGCAATCGAATGCATCCCCGTCAGGCAGTGAGATGGCCCGCTCACAGTGGCGGGCGCCACGCAGAGAACTGGGAACTTGAGCACCTACCCTGGCTCTCGCATCAACCAGGGCCCCGTTTCTCAGAAGGCACCGGACCACTTCCACCTGCCCAGCCCGGGCGGCCATGTGCAGGGCAGTCTCCCCACGCTGCCAGGAGACAAAGGTCAATGAATCATCAATCAGCGTACTACTCCGGATGGTAAAGTATACAGACAACACTTTTTGTAAAAGTCAGTAACATTTCCAAGGGTTTCTGACGTTTCTGTGATAAAGCATAACCATGTAGCCTAGACGACACGTTTTTATTCTTCTCCATCTTCATCAAGGATACACACACGTTTTGTTTTTTCCAGTTCCATGGCAACCCAGTGAACTTACCCACACACATATGTAGATATGTGTAACTTCCCTATCAGCCTAGCACAACTCAAATTGTTTTTGATGATAAAGTTATCTTTATTCTAGAAACCTAAATATCTGTCGTCATCACACCTGGCTGTATTATCTCAACGATTTCATGGTAACAGAGAGCTCTACATGTTGAAGACCAAGTCAACACATTGCAGAACAATCACCATCATCCCACTATGCCTGAGTCAGACGTTCTAACCACTCGGAATGCCTGAACGAAATGAACTCTCCATTTGCAACTGTATCACGACTGAAATATCTATTTATCCTGGGAGCCCCTATTTAATATTAATGAGCATATTTAATAACAGACAGCTATTGGAGAGAAATACTGAGATGTGAGTAAAGCAACTGTTAACTGCCATCCAGTCAGTAGGCAGCGCCGGACAGGACACCTTGGGTGTCTTCACGCTGCATGGAGGCACGGTGACTTTGCCAGGGAACAGTAGCTTAGGCTGCAGCCTGAAGGGTAAGGGTTAGATGTGAGAGACCTTGCTCACTGGGAAGCCTACTGATTTTTGATGCTGAGACTTTTTTGGTTCTTTAAATTATTATTATTATTATTATTATTATTATTAGCATATTTTAAAAGCATTTGTATTTGCAAAGAAAGTAGCTTTTATTTATATAACTTTACAGTTAAATAAGAGTAAGGCATAAGAATCAAATGTGGCACCTGGGAGGGAAATAAAAAAGAATCAGACATATTACACCTTTATCTACTACAATTTTAGAGAGGAAGTTGGATTTAACCAAGTACAGCAAGCCATCCCAAAGAACCCAACTTCATTTTAAAGTTGGTTGTGGAGATTTCAAGTTGCGTGTAAATTCCAGTGCGTAATGACATCAGATGGCTCATAGGACAAACCCTTAAACACAGAAGCTTGAGGGAAAACTTTAGTCTTGGTGCACACTGCTCACTTAATTTGTCCCCATTTTCAGGGAACAGTAACTTATGAAGATGCGAGAAACTGAGTTTTGAATGGCTTGCTTTGGAAAGCACTAATTCAGACATCCACTCTCTCTTCTTTCTGTGACGGCTCATGGGTTTTCTAATAGCTGGTTGGGATATGCCATATTTGATTTTTATGCAGCAAATGCATCTGGGAGCACATTGTTTTGGAAATCAGGAATTAAAATAATTGTTTTCATATTTAGGAAATCCTCAAAGATAGCAATTTTTTCTTCTTTGGACAACTGTAATTTCTAACCTGCTTCCTATACCTCATAGAGCCAAGTTCTAAATAGACAAGGCTAAAATCTTCTAATTAATCATTTAAAAACAGCAACAATAAAAAATACCCCAAACTCTAATCGTTACCATGATTCTAGGCCTCATAAAGCATACTAACTTTCTTCATTTGGGAAGAACAAACTTACTGTCAATGGATTAACTCAAGGATGCATTAGGAGTCCCTGCTCCGTGATGAATAAACATCTGCATTTTACAACTCAAGCTTATTGAGTTTTGAAAATCTAATAATGCACCTGATATTCATCTTGATATTTTCAAAATCCTTATTTTATACTTCAAATGAGTTCCTTTTTATGTTTTAAGCATATTTGAAATTTATGAATAAGCTTGGAAACCTAATACAAATATTAGAAATTATATTTAAAGCAAAACTATGTGCATATATCTGGTTTTTCTACTCTATAAAAATGCTCTTGTTTTATCTTTGTTTAATGAATCTGGGATAACTTATTTCCATTAACTTTTTTAAAATGTTGTTTCCTGTAAGCATACGTAAGAAAATGAATGACTGTATTGATTGTCACATGTTCCATCCTATTTGTCTGATGGTCCAGCAGCCTTGGTGTCCTTATTTGGAGCTAAGTAACTCTATGGGTTAAGGATATTTTTCTAACAGAACATCGAGTGTTAACTCTGCCATAAATCCATTGATTCGTTTTAGGAAGAAGAAAAACTTTGTAATATCTTACTCTGTACTTTTGAGAACCTTGAAAGTGCATGGGTTTCTAGTCAAATTGCTCAATAGGGATTCTGGACTATGGATGTATTGTGACTGGCAGGTCAGTTTTCTGGTTCAAAGTGCATTCACAAACTTTCTGGAAAGTAGCAATGCAGTCCTAATATTTGCTCCTGATTGAGTCAGTGATACACCTCAAATGTGGACTGTTTTTTTCCTTTTTTTTAAAGACAAAAACAAGACTGGCAAGAGAGTGAATATGCTCATGTCCAAAGCAGGTACCACGTTCATGCCCCTCTTCTTGCTTGTTAAAACTGACCTTGCTGACAGCTACATTGACTTCCACTTTGGCTGCATCAAGTTGAAAGCATCAAAGCACAACAGATAGCATTGCATTCAAAAATGCAACAAATTTTCAAGCAACACACAAAGGCTCTAAGGGTGGGGAGTCTGCGGGTCAGGGGGTGACCAACTCTGACACAGCAAGCAGGCATTCAGTGTTCACACAGTTTCTTAATCAACCTGCAAGGAGTTTGGGACCCTGTAACTATACATCCATGACCTGGAATCCACAAATCCACAAGCATTCCATTGATAAAGAAAGTTAAATTCCTCTCAATGTAGCATGGCCAGACATAGCAAATAAAAATACAGACCAGCCAGTGAAACTCTAATTTCAGACGAACAACAAATGATTATTTCTGTGTAGGTTTGTCTGTCCCAACTATTAGACTGGATATACTTATATGAAAATGCATGTTATTTTTCTGGAATTAGAATTTCACTGGTAGCTCTGTAGTTTATCTGGCGATTTTATCTATATGGTGTTGTCTCCCTGAGTGCACTTCTTAGAAAAACAAAATGAACAAACAAACAAATCACTAAGAAAAATGTTTGAATATTATTAGATTACCAGCTGTCTCTCAGAGTGTTTTTAAGGGAGCTGGTTGGACAGAGCATATGTGACAAATGAAAAAACAGAAGAAAATGAATAACTTTAGAATAACAATGAAAACTTACAATAGCACTTGTCAATTTTGGAGGTGCCTAAGAAACTAAAAGAAAGAATATAAAAAAAATCACTTTTAAAAATGAAACTTGGCTTCTTTTTACTTGAAGATTTACATGCATCCTTTATAGTATGCTAAGAAAGTCATATATTAATAAATGCTGTACAGCATGTTCTTTTCAGAAGGCAGCATGATGTGGAACCACACCCTCTAAAGATTGAGAATTGGACTTGGAGAAAAGGAACAAATTCAAGGTGGCTACAAAAGTCCAACAATCTCAGGTGGATTGCTCTTTGATGATTTTGTAAAATCTTCCTCAAAGAGACTAAGCTGGGGGATTCCAGTAAAGCACCACTTAGGATGCACTTGTATATGTTATTCATATAGCATGATCACACAGTGTCATCTGCCCTAGCCCTGTGGATACTGAGATGCAAATGAGGAAGTAGAGCGCAGTAGGCAGATGCACTGAGTACTGCACTTGCTGGAGGTTCTGGCTGATTTGTAGGTCTGTAAAGGTGTCAATAAAAAGTTCATCCAATGAATGGATGACATAGATTTCTGTTACAGTTATGGAAATTGAACACAAGTTGGAGGGTTTTGAAATGACTCTTCTGCTTAATTTGAATAATTACAAGTGAATGCATAATATTATTATTTTAAGACCAGTATGTCATTATTAGGGAAATGTATAAACATAGACTCCATATTTAAATGTTTATATATTTAAATGATTTTATAGCCCAGGTTATACATTTAAGTGGTTTTATGGTCCAGTTTTTAAATAACATGAAGAAAGTATGCAATGATAATGTTTGAAATCAAATACACTGATTTCCACAATGGGTTTTTTCCACACCTCATAAAGTTCAGCAGAAAGAGTGTCCAAAACAAAGATAAATAAAAAGTACGTGGGGATACAAATAAAATCTGAAATTTGACATTCTTTTCGTGAACTAAATAGAATGAGACTCCAAAAATTCCAAAAACAATGAATCAATTGCTTTTGAAACTATAATTCATTTCAGGAGCAAGCACTAACTTGCATTTGAGGTGAATTATTTCTGTTGTACACGTTGTGTTTTGTTTTGTTTTTAAATCAGCCTCACAGTGAGATGAATGAATGAATGACTGCACTGGGGAAGAGCACGCAGTTCTGCTCAGAAGAAGAGGGGTTCGCCAAGATACTACGATCAGGCAAAGGGTAAAGGGGCTGAAGTCAAGACACTTAGAAAAAAATATATTTTCAATTGAATTATATTTGGTAAGGGAGATTAGGTAGATGAACTCTCAAATATCTCAGATCAATTGGAAGAATGAGAATTATCTGAATTCATTTCAGGATCCATTTCAAAAGTTTCAATAGCAAAAAAAAAAAACTAAACCAAAAAAATATGTAAGTGGCCTCCACTCTTGCAAAGAAAATCAAATCAAAATTAAAAATCACATTAAGGTTAGGAGAAGGGACATTTTATGTAATTGGTAATTGGATATCAAGTGAAAATGCTTAGTATTGATGTGTCTCTGGTTAATTGTTTGATAATATTTATTATGGGACTGACTATAGGGTTTGATATTTTAACCCAAATTACCTAGAGTAGAATTCAGTCAAGCACTTGAAATGAATCCTGAAGATTTTATTCTAACCCCTCATTCATTCCTTTTCAGGAGCCCTTTGAGGTTTATCTTGCTCTAGTAAATGCATTTACGATGCATGTGCAGTCCATCCGCCTCCAGGAGCTTAAGCTAGTTGACTCCACAGCTTCCATTTCATTTTCTAAAAAAAATTTTTTTCACATCCCATGAAGTTCTTTTCAGTGATGCGCTAGCAGATATTTCAATGTCATAGCGGCCCTTCTGACAGCTCGGTGGCTGTTTCCAATCACACATACACACCTACACAACCCCTGTCTCTGCTGCTCTTTCTCCCGGTGGCAATTCTAAGCCAAGCCATACTCACAATGTTAGTGACATCTGGAGAGGCTCCGTTCTGCAGCAGAAGGAGGACAATGTTCAAGTGGCCCATGAAGGCAGCCACATGTATTGGTGTGAGGCCAGACTGCGAAACAAAGCGACAGCAGTTTTACTCCTCTGCACCGGTGGGGGCTGTGGGGCTTCTTCAGATAAATGACACTTGTGTGGAGGGGACAGAAAGTGGGTGAAAGGAAGAGAAGGAAGGGGCACGAGACGGAAGGTTTCGTGACAAGCTGAAACATTTTTCTACCTCTGTTATAGCTTGGATGGAAGCCCCATATTTCACCAGCAGTTCCATGACTTTGATGCGGTTTTTCTTGCAGGCAATGTGCAGTGGAGTAAAACCATTCTGTGCAAAAGACAATCGAGTTAGTGGGAAACATGCAGATAGGATTCTCACACAACTCCATGCTGGCACATTGCAGGCAATCATGTGACACCGTCACGCAGTCGTGGTGTTCCCGTGTCCTCCAACTCTGCAGGTGTTGAGATTTGGAAAGAAGAGAAGTCATAGTATGTTCCTATGGGCAGTGAAATTTGTGGGCCTGCGGTGGGCCTGTATGTAACAGGTTGTGTGGTTACTAAGTATACGAACCGTGAAGCAAAGGAAAGCAACTGTGTTTCAGAAATCCTAAATGTTTGAAGGCAAACTGTCTGGTCAGGCTGCAAAATGACTTGAATATACCTGGGATGTAAACACGTATTTTCCTGATGAAGAGCCATTTCCTCAGAGAATAGAACTGCTGATCTAATTTACTTTCAAAAAATAAAATCTAAGAATATGCTTGCTTCTATCATAAATCATTTAGCTTTATTACTATTGTTTTAAGAGTGAAAGTCTTGAAAACCAGCAGCAATTATTAACTAGGTTGATATTATTTTTAGATCTGGAAGTTATAATTCTTCAATTAAAGATATATATTTTTAACTTAGGCACATCAGATAATGTTTATTTTATAAAGAAGTGACTTTAAGTTACTGTATATTTCAGGAAAGGTATCAATAATTTTGGGAATAAATGGAATAAGCTGGCAGACAGAAAGAAGAAAGCACATAGAACCCGTAAGTTGCTTTCTAGTTTTCCAAATTAGATGTAAGATTTAGGTGAAATTTTGCAACTTGCCATATATCAAACCCTTATGTTTTACATTAAAAAAATTTCTTTTTATTTTAACAATGATCCTATTGTTGAGTCATACCTACTCTTTTAGCTTGCTGCTTTGCATAGCTCAACAGGGAAGAATCACCACTCGGCACTTTTATGCAATAGCAGTTCTCAGAAAAGCATAGTGTATTGTAAAAGTGAATTATTTATTATTCCACATAATAGACTTATACACATAATTAATCAAATCAGCTCCCTTGTTTATGAGCTATATATCTATATGTAGTTCATAAAGGATTTGCAATTATTCACTATTATATTTTGTAAGCTTATTGACAACTATGTAATTGAAAATGAGTATTCTTCTGCTTATGGGAATATATATATATCCTCATATAATTGCCCATAACCCTAAAGGTATATTGGTTCCCAGGAAATTATGAACACAATTATGCTAATGAAAAATTTCTCATAAATATAAAATTTGATATTTGGTACTAATAAAATTGTCTAGCCTTTAATATTGAATGCCTGACAGCTGCTAATTTTAATTGATGTAACCACATAAAAAAACCTCAAAAAAATTCTTGCTTTCAGTTTGAAAATTAGGAAACAAGTGGCATAAATTAGTACATGCCTAATCCTTCCGATGGTAATTGTTAGAATATAAGTGAAGCAAGGAAGATTTATTCAGTATTAGACTTCCGGAGACACAAAATCTGCCCTGGGGACAGTCTTTCGCAGTTTTCAAATGTCTCACGTAAAACACTCACTGAAACCGTTGAGAGCTAGAAATCACTTTTCTATTCGCATAAGGTTGAGTAATCAGGTCCATAGGGAAATAACCAAATGAACTCTTCGGAGACATACATTTTACACAACTGACGTAGTAAAATATGTTCACCACTTTAAAATCATCTTTTCCCCCCACAGAGAATCATAGCGTTCAACTTTTTCACAGGTTTACATCGAACTCTGTCTAGAACTAGAGTCATCATTTTCGTTTGGTGTCTTGAATCTTATGCTTAAAGTTGCTAATCGCCCTAGAGCTTTCAGATCCATTTGCAGCTCATTAGTTTTAGAAATCTTATGTTGGTGTTCCCCCAAATCTACCCCTGCTCCCCGTCATGGAATAGCAAACTAAGAAGGCATGAATGAGGCAAGCAGCTTGTGGATTTGGGTGAAGAACTTAGCACGATTGGCCACATGTCTGCAACCATGCACTGCTGATGCCTGCACCATTGGCACCCCGTGTGGGCTTGCGGGTCTTGATCTATATTCAGGAAGGTGGCCGGGGCCAGGTTTACCAGAGCTCTTGCATTAGGGTTGGCTCTCTTGTCCAGCAGGAGTTTGGTTACACGATAGTGGCCACAGTGCGCAGCAACGTGCAGAGCCGTCAAGTAGTCCAGGGTGACATCATCAACAGGTGCCTTGTGCTGTAGGAGGTGCTTCACACATTCCACGTGGTCCCCTTGTGCAGCCATGTGAAGAGGAGATAGTCCATTCTGCACATCAAAACAAAACCAAGTCAAAACAACGCGTCATCCGTTGCTCTCGGGTCCCCTCACAACAAGCTCAATTCTTGATCTCTGGCAAAGTTGGTTGCACGGGGAAAATATGTTTTTTTTAATTTTATGGACAAATACTCACAATGTTTGGTTGAGTGGGAAGCGAAGGACATCTTGAATTTCAGAATTATTTCTTAGACAAAACCGAAAGGGCATGATTGTCCTGCATGCACACATAGTAGACATGCCAATTCAACCTGTTTTCAAAACTATGAAGACCCTAGATCTCACTGACCCCGTCCGCAGCACTGCTGCCGTGTCTGAACCCACTGTTGCAGCTTCTGGGTCAATCCGTCTCCTTACTAGTCCTTCTCTTTATCAAATCCAAATTATTTCAACAACATCAGTGAGAGATAGTGTTTCAATTATTTGTATTCATTTCCATCCACACCAATCTATGACGCCACGCTCCTGCGCCGTACTTGACTTACTGTTCGAAAACTTGTTGGACCAGTTGGGTTGATGATGATCTAGACAACTATCATGAAATGAGACTGGTCAGAAATTATTGACTGAGTGACATATTCAAAAAAAAAAAGAGGTGATAGAATTTGCATACACGATGTGGCAAGTGAAAGAGGAGTCAAGCATGACACCAGGTTATCAGGCTTAATAAACCGAATGAATGGGACAGTCATTAATTGAGATAAGCAAGACTCCAAGGGAAGTAGGTTGGAATTGGGGAAAATATCAAGAGTTAATTTTGAATGTATAATATTGGAGATGACTAGTGGACATCCATGTAGCAATAATGAGCAAGTAAGATGAAAACAAAAAGCTGGAGACAGACTGTTGTATGTCTTCTGTATATAGGTGATAATTAAAGATCAAACTAGATGAGAATTCTTTGCAGGGTGAGTGCAGATAGAGAAAAGGCCTAAACCGGACACTGGGGGATCTATTTTGCAGAGAGCTGAACGACCGAGGAGGACCGAGTCTTCTTTAGGAGACGGAGAAACAATAGCTAGTAAACCAGAGGAGTATGGTGTCCAGAAGACAAGCAAGCAAAACGGCTAGAGCAAGGAGGCATGTGGAAGAATGAATTGTGTCAGATGAAAGCAGTGAGAGAGAACACAAACTATATGAGCTCTGATTCATCTAATTTCTGTAGAAATTCTTTTCTGACTTCTTCAAGTTTCTCGTGTTTTGGGAAGTGAAGATAGGGAGGAGAGCGTGAAAAGTTTGAAGGAGAGGGGATAAAATAGGCAGAAGAGAGGGACACCGAATGGACTTGGGACACATAAGATGATTAACTATCAGGCAGCGTTAAAGGCAGACTTGAAATTATTAACCATGAATTTAAAATAAGTCCAGTCATTGTGGTTGTGTGTTTCCTCCAACAAGGGCACTTACAGAAGACAGACTGAATCAAGGTTAAATGAAATATGAATAGAGAATGATGATTGGCAGAGATGAGAGCATACCATGAATTAAATATAACAATCACATATCCAAGCAGAATTTTTAAAATTCTAGTTGAGGTTATGAGGATATTCAGCTAAAAACTAGAAGGAATATTGATGAAGAGGCACAGTGACCTGAAAGGGAATTTTTATAGAATGAGAGGTGGGGAGAATGACATTAAGGTGGATAAACAGAAATAATGTTTCAAGGTAGAATAATGGATGGCTCAACATTGGGAGCTTTTAATCAAAATTAAGGGAGAATAATCCAGAATAAGAGTGTGTGTCCAACCTAAGCCACCTTTGCAAGGAAGACTCGAGGCACTTGCTGATGAAGATCAAGGATTCCAGCTTCTACATGGATTATGACTCAGTATAGAGGGGCAAAATCTTCACAACTGGGCTATTAGGTAACCTCATGATGAATCGCAAAAGTTGTCAAGGATTCTGTCTTGCTTGGATCCCCAATCAATGCTCATGGAAGCAGCAGGCAAAAGATCAAAAGACGAGTTGTATTGGGCAAATCTGCTGCACAAGACTTCCTTCGAGTGTCGAAAAGCAAGGATATTACTTTGAGGACTAAGGTGCACCTGAGCAAACTATGGTATTTTCAATGGCCTCCTATGTATGTGGAAGCTGGACATTAAATACGGAAGATCAAGGAAAAATCGACATGTTTGAATGGCGCTGGTGACAAATATTGTCAGTACCGTGGATTGCCAGAAGGACAAACAAATCTGTCAAGGCTAGAGCGCCCCTTGGAGGCAAGGAAGGTGAACGTCATCTTACATACTTTGGGCATGCTGTGAGGAGAAACCAGTCTCTGGGGCCTGGTAAAGCAGAGAAACAGAGACGGAGGTGAAGGCTCTCAAGGAGAGGAATTGACACAGGGGTGACAGCAATGGGCTCAGGCATGGGAACAATTGTGAGGGTGGTGCGGGACTAGACAGTGTTTTGTTCTGGTGGGTAGAGAGATGCTTTGGGTGATTCTAGAGGACCCGCCCAACAACCCAAACACCGTCCTACCTCTCACACTCCAATCTGGTTAATCTTCCACCTAGAACTCCTTTTTGGAATTATCTATTTTACTTATTAAATTCTGAAAATCTTAAAGGTATGGCTTGGATAATCTTTATCTTGATAATCCCTTGCAGTTGTTTAATATAAAATGATCGAGCAAGGAAGGAATAAATAAATAAATGACAATAATCATATAGTCACAGGTACTTTGTACAGGATTCTTACGTATGTATGCTATGATTTTAGAGGAAGGCTATTTTCTTAAAAATTCCAGCTATATACCCCTATGGTCTCCATTAGTTATCTGACAGTTGCAGGCAAATCTGTGTTCAATTTTATTTTATGGTTTGTGAAAGGGTATATATGCCAATTTCCAATTTGATATAAGATTTTGAATGACTGAATCATGACTAGTTTGAAATTTTGTTAGTGCCATTTAAATTTTAATTGGTTTCTCATAAAAATTTCCAATAATCACTTCATCCTACACATATGTTGCATTTAAGAGATAAATCTTTATAATATCCACCGTATAGACATGGAAATGGAAATAATACCAATCATCTATGTGTTTCCTTCATGTGTCTTCCATTTGTAGCTGCTTTTCCATACCCTTTTCATAGAATAACAGCCATAGCCCTTTGAAGACTGAATTCATGCTCTTAAGATATGTACACTGTTTTGCCCCGAATCATTTTAACATAAAATTCAATTGAATTAGAACATAAATTGAAAAACATTGCTTGTGTTTTATTCCTTGTTTTCCTTGGATTGCCTTAGCAATAGGAACTTACATAGAATCGACCCTGTTCAGGGGAATATAGAGAAAATGTAAGACTTGTCTTTTATATACATTTTTGGGGGTTGTTGTTGTATTAAAGGATCCAAGCACTGTTGACTATGCCATTCTATAGCTCTGTGAGGCTATCTTCAATTTGTGACCCAATATAATTTTTGGTGATCCCCAAAGAGACAAAAGGAAGAAGTATTTATCTGAAATACTGAATGAAGGCATTTACATTACCAAGCCAGTGTAAGGTTAGATAATGAGGGATAATAAACTAATGAAGCTTATAAAATACATTTGATAATGAAAAATTGCCAACAAGTCATCTCACCATTTGGTTTTTGTTTACCTAGAAAAGTATTTATTTCATCCATAGTTGAGGATATTGATGAAACGAGGTTAAAAAGTGCCAGACACACCGGAGATCACCTTGCAGAGGGGTCTCGGGGAGGAGATGAGCCAGTCAGCGATGTAACAACGATGAAAAATACAACTTCCCTCTAGTCCCTAAATGTTTCCTCCCCGCTCCCACTACCATGACTTGAATTCAACCTTGCAAGTCTGGCTAGACCAGAGGATGTACACTGGTACAGATAGGAACTGAAAATACAGGGAATCTAGGGTGGATGAGCCCTACAGGACCAGTGGTGTGAACGGCGATACTGGGAGGGTAGAGGGAGAGTGGGTTGGAAAGAGGGAACTGATTACAAAGATCTATATGTGACCTCCCTGGGGGATGGACAACAGAAAAGTGGGTAAAGGGAGACATCGGACAGGGCAAGATATGACAAAATAACAATTTATAAACTATCAAGGGGTCTCATGAGGGAGGGGGGAGCGAGGAGGGAGGGGAAAAATGAAGACATAATGCCGGGGATTTAAGTGGAGAGGAAATATTTTGAGAATGATGAGGGCAATGAATGTACAAATGTGCTTTACACAATTGATGTATGTATGGATTGTGGTAAGAGTTATATAAGCCCCTAATAAAATGATTTAAAAAAAATGAAAAAAAAACCCAAATGTGCTTGACATACAACGGATGGATGGATGGATTGTGATAAGAGCTGTATGAGCCCCCAATAAAATGATTTTTTAAAAATGAAAAAAAAACTGCCGGACATACTCTGTGCCATAAAGAGAAATATATCTTCTTAATGGACCTTGCAGGTGGCCCTTCCTAACTCACACCTTCCACATCTCACTTGCTAATCCCAAATATGATCAACCAGCACCACCGGTGAGCAATTCTTATTACCAGTATTGCCTATGAGTTAGAGATTGGATGAACTAAAACACTCATCTTGAGTTCAAATTGTACTGCTTTAGAATGATACATTTCTATATGTACATTTTACAACCACTTCAGGAAATCACAAAAATCTAGACCTAAGAATATAAGAAATGGATAAATCTTTGGACTTCATATTCTCATCGACATACAATACAGATATATAACAATATTCTTGTGTAGTAATATAGCACATAATAAACATGCACTTCCAAAGTGTTGAGTTCAGTTCAGGGCAGCTTCCCTGTTCTGCTAATTAAACTTTGGGACATTAAAACAGGCTTGGGTAAATGACTGGGTAGAAAATATTATTCTATTCACTTTGTTCCCTGCCTACATTTAAAATAAATAAATAAACACGCACAAAGATTTTTGAATGTCGACAATTAGTGTCTCTCAAAATGTGTGTTAATTTTAAAATGGTCTATATGTTTCAATACAATTCAATATATATTTCCGTTACTACTATGCAATATACATTTCATATCTACCCAATAGTGGGTAAAAAAAACAAATCCTTGACCAGTGTTTGAATATTACATGTTCACTGCCGTTAAGTTGATGCTGACTCATGGTGACCCTATAGGACAAGTTCAGACTGCCTCTGTGAGTTTCTAAGATTGTACATCTTTACAGGGGTAGAAAGCCCCATCTTTCTCCTGTGGAGTGGTGGTTGTGCACTGCTGACCTGGGAGTAGGCAGCCCAACGCATAAATACAATGACACTAGCAGTCCTTGTTTAGTACTACAGAGAATGCAGAGAATCCCATCTCCCAGAAAGTCATTTAGATGTTCTCTTGCTCATTTTGACTCACCTTAGTCCTTGCCAGCAATGGCGCGCCGCGTTCCAGCAGAAGTTCCACCACTGGGTCATGACCACTTCTCGCAGCACAATGAAGTGGAGTCAACCCATCCTGCCAAAAGAATGAAAGACTAAGCCCTGTGTTAACTTTTCAAGCCAAGATTGCATCTAACCCCAGAGAGATTTTTCTAAACACAATCCGGATGACTCAATAGATAAGAAATAGAATTGTAATTCATTAAATGCTAGAGAGAGAACAGAAGGAGTGAGGAAACTAGATGGACAGAGACTGAGACCCAAAACAAGGAAATGCAGAGAGCTCCCATGGAAAGAGGGTCAGTGGGACGGAACTTGGCTGCTGGCGCACAAGTTTTCATATTCAGGAAGATGGAAGAGCATTCTACTCACTTGGAATCATACCCAGAGATTACATCAACTTCCTCTGTTTTCACTTTGGTTGTCCTAACAAAACTGTTTACTGAAAATATTTCCCAATAATCTCATTCATACACATGTTTCTTTTGAATTGTCACTACTTTGATGAATTCTCCTAAAATGCTTCCAGATGCTCAGAAAAAGCATGAGTAATTTTTCCCCAGCATCATTTAAAACATTTCTGCATATATTTTCAATATTTGACATATTCTGTAATGCTTCCTCAGCAACGAAAATTATTAGTAGTAATATTAAAACTGTACCAAAATTAATTATGCATAATGATATGTTATGTTATGTGTGTTTTTTATGAAACTTCCTGACCTTGATACTTCCGGGGTAGCTTCTCACCACTGGGCAATCCCCAAACGCCTGTTGTTCTGTTTCTCTTATTTTCCTTTTAACTAGCTTGGTCACAAAAGTTAAAGCAGAACAGATGAAAGCACGAGACAAAATGTAGTGAACAAGGAGGAAGATGAGAGAAAAGAAAATCCCGACTATGTAAACTGACTGGTGATTTGAAGCTCAAGGAAAAGAAACAAGTGGAAATAGCAGGGAGTAATCACTGGAAATGAGAGGTGGTGAATCGTTATGAAGATTTGAGATGCTTTTGATACCTCCAGAACTATGTTATTGTCTGTGGAACACACTTCTACCCTGACATACATTGGGGTCACCAATAGCTGGAATCCAAAAGATATGGTGCAATGGCCTATGTCTCTGTTTCCAGGACCGTCTTGCTGTGTTATGCTTTCCTCCTATTAAAACCTACTCATTTAGATTATGAACAGCTTTGTCTGATCCAACATTCTGGAACTTTTAGGCTGAATATCTTCCATTTGCTTCTCCAGGTCCACACTCTACCCTTCCCTACTCTGCTCTGTGTCCGGAGACACCAACCTCTCTAGACTGTATCAGGAGGTGACCTTGCCCTCTGGCTTCTGGTTGTGTTGGGCCAAAGGGAATCCCAGTAAAAGATGGAAGAGACTCCTTGAGAAGCTTCCTAAATTTGGCGGTGTCTCTCCCCTGAAGGTCATAGATCCTGCCATAGCGACCTTCTCCAGAGAATTCTATCCTTGGGGTTTCTGGTAACCTGTTCTACTCGTCACCATTCTGGTCTAAGGTTGAAATTGAGCCCTGATCTTACTAGATCCGGGTCTGCAGTACTACCCCTATACGCTTTCCCTACAATCTGTGCACAAGAAGTAGATCCTTTGTCAATCTCTATTCGAATTCTGAAATTTGCGTGTGCCATCTGGTTTTTGCTAGGATCCTGACTGGTGACAATTTCCTGCCAAACGACTTCTAACCCAACCCCCATTGAGTCTACTCCAACTTAGAGCCGTATCCTACAGGACGGAGTACAACAGTTTTTGCATTTCTTTTCATCTTTTTTCTGGGAGCAGCCAGCCTCCTCTTTCTCCTGAGGAGCAACTGATGGGTTCAAATCCCTGACTTTGTGGTTACCAGCCCAGTGTTTATCCCACTCTGCAAGTGATGTGTCTTCTTTAACTGTTCAGCTGGTATTCTGACACTGAATTGGAATGCAAAATGGAATTGGCAGTTTCAAGGTGTGTAGCGATTCGCATGAAAAGATTGGCTTTACAGAATAATACTTTTTTTAAAAAGCATTAAGGATTATAGATGGAACAACGAAGCTATCTAGATGTTTACCTGAGGTTAGGCTAAAGGAAATCGGAGAAAAGTGACTTAAATGGTCATCCATAGAGAGCTTGCTAACAGTTACCTGTGTTGGCATTCCAGGGCATGGAGTTGCTGCATAAGTTATGTAACAGTTCAACAAGCTTTCTTAACCATAGTTTTGGTGCTGAGAGCATGAAAAATCTGACACAGTGGCTGGAAGGCTCTTGATTTCCTGAGTCATGAAGACCTGTGTGTGCATCTCAGGTCAGCCACCCTGACCTGAGCAAACATCTCTGAGGCTCAGTTTTGTGGCATGCAAAGTGGAGATGGCTTTTCTTACGCTACTTAACTCACAACCATCCTTGAAACATTAAGGAAGGCTGCCTTAAATCCTTTGAGAAGAGGTTGGAGTATCCTCTTTAAATCATGGCATGAAATATCTACTGTGAAATCATGTTGAGACCTTCAAAAATCTCTGGACACATTCCAAGAAGCAGTAAGGAACATGATGGAAAACAGGTCATCCATGCACAAGAATATCAAGCAATAAAGATTCACTTGGTTGTAAAGTTTATATTCGCTAATGCATTTCTTTTCTGCCTTTACAAACAACATGCTCATGATGATGCCAAGTTCACGTTGCCCCCAAACTCCATGTGAGTTGTTCATCGGTGCGGTCAGAGCCTATGGACCCCAGAGTGAAGCATCCCCGGCTCCGGCAGCATCCTCACAACGTTTCTTATGTTTGAGTCTCTCATTGCAGCCACTGCGTCAATTTATCTTATTGAGGACCTTCCTCTTTTTCAGTGACCCTTTAGTTTACCAAGTATGATGTCCTTCTCCAAGACTGGTCTCTTCTGAAACACGTCCAAAGGATGTGAGACAAAGTCTGGCCATCCTTCCTTCTACGGAGCATGCTGACTGCTCCTCTTCCTAGACAGATTTGTTTGTTCTTGTGGCAATCTGTGGGACTTTTAATAGACATCTCCAGTACCACAAATTCAAACACATCGATTCTTTACAGTGCTGAAAAGCAAGAATAATACTTTGGGGGCTAACACGTGCCTTACCTAAGCTCAGTATGAGTAGAACTTGAATATGTTTACAAAGTAGAAATCAAATAATATATTGCATGAAGTTAACAAACAATTGCCAGAAAAGCGCTTCTCAAGATTTTTGCATCTGAGGATGTTCTGACTTCAAGTGTTAGGACTATGTTTGGCAGTTAGGTTTTGTCCCATCCAGAATCCACTCTGATTGCTATTTTTTCTCTAGTGGTCTCAATTCAAAGTACATGAAGATGCAGTTCATGCTGAGAGGGCAAGAATGACCAACATTAAAGGAGCACCATTTATCTAACTGGTCTTTTTCATCCTCTCGACTTAGTTTATTCTGCCAGCAATGTATCCGGAAGTTTGTGTTGAAAGTACAAACCATTGCTATTGTAGATCAAGTTACATAATTTACCTGAAATTTATTTTTCCCTTTGATAATTTCATTTCTCAAATGGAGACCTACATATCTTCATATTTTCTTATCAAGAAAATAGTATGTACATGTTTACAAGCTCATTGGGTGTTGTTAGGTGCCATCCAATCAGAATTGACTCATAGCAACCCTGTGTCAGTAAAACAAAACAAAATTCTGCCCCTGGTGCGGTGTCATTTCCACAATTGTTCTATGTGTAAATCCATTGTTGCAGCCACAGCATCAATCCATTTTGTTGTAAGTATTCCTCAATTTTGCTGCCCCTTTAATTTTACCAATCATGATGTCCTTCCCCAGCCATGGCTCCCTCCACAGACGGATGTAACATGTATGTGAGTGAAGGAGCCATGAGAGGAGCACTCTGTCTCGTGTCAAGTATCTGTCTAGGACAGTACACAAACGTCTGTCCTAGCTGGTTCTCACAAACTGCTTCCTTACTGCAAACGGTAAGGAATCTGGGGCAGCAGCTGCAAACAGAGTTCCCTGGTAGAATGTAAACAAAATCAGTATGGGCCGAGATACAGAACTCACTCTCAGGGCTATGAAAAATTCAAGCGTGGGAATAGCAAACTTGTCTGTGAACACTGCCAGTATTCAGTACATAAAAATAAAGTACTGCCATCCATCAGGGCTGCAGTTTGTACCACCTCTGCCTGTGTCCTGTATTGTGTGTGTGTGTGTGTGTGTGTGTCTGTTTGGTTCCATGTTCATTCTCCCTGCTCAAGAAACTGTGGCATCAGTGAGACTAAGTCCATCTTCACGTCTAAGGCACACATTGTCTGTGTTTATTTCTAGACGTACTTGTTTGTTCTTCTGGAAGCCCATAGTATACTCAGCATTCTGCATCAACACCATCAATCAAATACATTGCTTCTTCTGCAGTATTCCTTAGCCACTCTCCAGCTCTCGATGTTTATGAAGCAATTGAACATACCGATTGAACATACCAGGGCTCGAGTCAGGCAATCTTAGTTCGCAAAGAGAAATCTTAGTTTTTTCACACTACACAGAAGTCTTTTGCAGCAGTTTACCCAATGCAATTTGCCATTTATTTTGTTGACTACTGCTTCCACACATGTTGTGAGGAAGATGAAGGAAGATGTTATTTGTAGAACACTTACCAGAGTGCCTAGAACATCACAGGCACACAATTGGTAGCTATTATTATTATACTACGAATGATTATATCTAATAGCAGGAAACAAAATTTAATCTTTGTTTTCTGATGAGGTGTTTCTCATTTATCATCCTTTAATGTTTTTGTATACTTTCCTTATTTGCATTGAAATATGTATTTCATTATTTTCACTATAGTCTTTACATGGGGTATCTTCATCTTTAAATAATAAATAAGCTAAAAAATAAAAGAGAACAATGCTCTTAATAAAGTCGAATGATCAATATCAGTTCTAACTAGCTATCAAATTTATGCCTTAATATTAAAATGGGATTTTGAGATATCAGCAAACAGGGCTCTCATGAAAACATCTCACAATTTCACACGAGGTTCTCATCAATGATAAGAATACCAAGGAGATAAAAAATGCCTAGGCGACTGTCAAACTGGAAAACGTGGGAGAGAGACTGTGGTTTTAATCACTATTAATTACCCCAAGGTCTGCATATAGCTTGCTTTTGCAGACAATGAAAACCTTGTACATTATAAAAATAAGAAGATTAAAGGATGTTCCAGACATAAGAAACTAAATGTAGAATTTTTGTGATTAATTTGATTGCTAAGGAAAATTGAGACCTTTGATAAGAAAAAAAGAGAATACTCATGCTATTTTTAAAAAATTCCAGAGAGTAGTAATATAAGCATCTTCCTCTTTGTAAATATATTTGTTAAAGAACAAAAAAAGTAAACCATCGACTTTTAATGTTATTTATTATGTCTTTAGGTGCTGCGGTGTCAGGTCAGGCTCATAATAACTCGATGTACAACAGACAGAAACAATACCAGGTCGTGTGCCACCCTTGCCATCTTTGCTGTGTTTGAGCCTTTGGTTTGCAAACGCGAGGTAAGCCCAACTTGCTTAGGGTCTTCCACTTTTCATGACTCTTAGACTTGACCAAGACTGGTGGCCTTTTCCAGGGACTGGACCCTCTTGACAACATGTTCCAAGCATGTGTGATGAAGTCTCACCACCATGCATTTTAGCTATACTTCTTCCAGGAAATATTAATCCATTCTTCTAGATATCTTGGTATATTTAATATCCTTTGCCAACCCTATCAGATGGTCCTCCTGAATCATTGTCCGGCTCTCACATTCATGTGAGGTGATTAAAAATACCCTGACTGGGGTCAGGTGTACATTAGTTCTTAAAGTGACATTTTTCATCTTTAACAATTTAAAGAGGACTTTGGCAGCAGATTTACCCAATCCAATAAATCTTTGTAAAAAACAGTTTTATTGAACTATAATTCCTATACCATAGAATTTAACCGTTCAACCATATTAAAAAAGAGTTGTGCAATCAGCACTACAAAATTTTTTAGATCATTTTCTTCTTTCTTGTGCTCATTGTTGTTAGCTCCCCATTTCCTCTCCAGTCTCCTCTTCCATACCCCTAAGTCACTGCCTTTATAGATGCACCTATGCTAGACTTCATATAGAGAAAACATAAAACAAAACCAAAAAAATCCCAACAACAATAACAAAATAAGCCACAATCAAAAAGAAAGAAGAAAATATTAAAACTAGGACACATTTAAAATTGTCAAAGGGGAGCTAACATGATAAGGTGTTGCATTTTCGTCTAACTACGTAAGTAATAATCCGCTTTCTAACGCACTCTGTCTGGGAGCAGGGCTGTTCACAGCCCTGGACTATGGCCAGAAGGAATTCATCAGAGCCTTCGTCCATGTGGGGACACTGCAGTGGAGTTTGGGTTTTCACTGTCATCCATGGCCTTCTGAAAACTGGATGCTCAGAATTCAAGCTCTAATACCATTCCCTCCTGTAGTCTTAAATATTATTATTTACACGTCTTGACTTACACAAATGGATGTGCTTCTTCCATGTGGCCTTAGCTGACACCTCATTTAGAAGGCTGCTTATTTCAAAATAAGCCTTTAAACCCCAGACACTATTGTTTTTGACAGCCAGGTGCCATCTGATTTCTTGACTGTTCCCAGGAGTGTTGACTGTGGATCCAAGTAAAATGAAATCCTGGAAAATGTCCATCTTTTTTCTCCATTTATAACGATGTTGTCATTGGTCCAGCTGTGAAGATGTTTGTTTTCTGTAGGTTGAGGTGCAATCCACACTGAAAGCTGCTGTCTTCATCGCTAAAAGCTTCCAGTCCTCTTCACTTTCAGCAAGCAAGTGTGTGTCGTAACATTATCTCCGTTTCTTCATGAATGTTCCTCCAATCCTGATGTCCTGTCTTATTCCTTTAGTCCAGTCTCTCGGATCATTCACTCAGCATACAGATTTACAGACTGGAGGAGTATGGGAAAAAGACACAACCGTGGGACACACTAGTTTGCTTTATTATTAGAGTTCCAGACTGGACACCTAATTCCAGAAAACACCCTTGGTTTCTGCATTTGTCTTCTACAGAATTTTGTGTTTGGTGAAATAGATGGAGCTCTTTTACCTACAACCAAACTGAAGGCACATATCGAACTTTAAAAATTCTATTCATGGGGACACCAGCTTAGTTCCACCATTCAGTACTGTACTCCACCAGTAAACGGGCTGGAACCAGCTCCTCGGAAGGAAACGAGTACTCTACCTCGCTGCCATTGAGTTGACTCCAACGCATAGTGACCATGCAGGACAGGGCAGGAGTGTTATTTTGGGTTTCTGAGGATGTAACTATTTACAGGAACAGAAAGCCTCATTTTTCTCCCTCATATAAGCTAGTGGGAGAACATTTTTGTATACAGCTTCCCAAATTTGCTCTCAGTGATAACATATTGGTAGCAATAGTAGCACCATGCAAATAAAAAAAAAGACTACATGATTTGTTTTTGTTTTATTTTAAGACATGATTATTAAAACACTGGCTAGCATGTCACTGACAGGTGCCCTGTGGGGGTAGTCCTATTGGCTTCCATCACTATGAATCCATGGTTCTGGGCCTAGGCAGTCTATCTTCTTAAACTATTGTGTCCCTAGGGTTCAGGGACCACATAGGAACTCTATAATTATTTGTTTAAAGAATTAAGGATTTTTTTTACCACATATTTCAAATTTTTTATTCTCTTTAAATGTTTAAATGCTGAAGTTTGAAGTTGATGATTAACAAAAGCTACTCCATAGAACTAATACCAAAGTACTAGTTAAATGTTAAAGCAAAAAAACAAAAGCAATGTAATGACATTAGCAAAAACATGAGTAGCTAAATAATTTATCACTCTATTTTTAAAATAATAAACGCTGAGCTGAGTATCAATGCGCCTTATGGAATAAGTACTATTATTAGCCAGAGATCAGAGAAGGTGAGGAAACTGCCAATATCACGCAGACCAGGCGGTTTGTCTTCAGAGTCTGAGCTTTTAACAATTTCACTTCCTATATATCTAATGCTGTTCTTATTGGAAGTGCAGAAAAACTTGGGAGAACGATATTTTACAAAACAAGTTTGAAATGAATGAAGGGCACAGCTTCTCACCACAATAACTTGAGTGAAGGTGTGATGTAATAACTTTATTTCTCCCCCCGCCCCCCCCACCACCCCCAAAACATAATGGCAGATCTGCTTACGACAGTTAAGCAAAATCACATTTAAAAAGAAGTGAATTAGGAACTAAGTAATTGAAAGGATAAAGACATCCAATATGTATTCAAATACTTTCTGTAGAAGCCACACTCTCATAGCTTAACCATGTATGCAAATGTGTTTCTTGAGCTTTAGTCCTAGAAAATCAATAAGCAAGACTACACAAACTGTCTTATTGAAGGCTTCGCATTCTCTCTGGGCACTTGTGAACAAATAGGAATTCCACTTTATGATATGAAACCCCTAAATGTCATAAGAGATTTAAATCAAATCCAAGAAAGCAATGCCCTTGAAAACGTGCGTATGGACTTGTTTTTCAGGGGCATGGTAAGTGGATTAAGAAAAATCAGAAAGGTATTTAATTGAAAGAGCAGGGGCACTCACCCTAGTTTTGGCGTCAATCTGCCCACCGCGATCCAGTAAGAGCTTCACCATGTTTGTGTTTCCCCTTTTGGAAGCCACGTGCAACGGAGTGATTCCATTCTGCACCATGAAGAGACCAAACAAGAAGGTGTTGGGCATGCTAGGGCAGGATGGTGATGGCTTTGTTAAAGGACACAACGAAGGAGGTAACCTCTGTGTGAACTTGCGCTCAGGTTTCTCAAGTCTCAATGTCTTTGGTTTTTTAAGACACAAAAAAGACGCATAAACCACAAGTCATAGGGTTAGAGTGAACCCAAAAAAATGAAATAAAACTACACCAGTTAGTCAATATCTTCAGTAAATGTATTCAATATACATCTTGTCTGTCAAGTGACAGGGGGAACAACCACACTTGTGTAAAAGAAATAAAAATGTCGACCCTAGTTTGAGAAGAGCGCTACTCTAAGTCTGTCTTTCACTTTACAGCACTGTGCATTTAATCAATCATGAATTTTTAACGTTTCTTATGCTTCAAAGTAGAATACAAATATATGCTGATGCCTATTTTGGGGGAGGGGGATCCTTCAAATCATTTCCAGAATAATTCAGTAAAAATAAAATAACCTAAAACTAGACCAAGTTCCTTTCAGTGCAGAAAATGTCTGAGAAAAAAATCCAAACACATAAATTATATTATTTTATTGGCTATCTGAACTATGACAAAAACGTTTACTTTCTGTTAAAATATTTACAATATTCAAAATCTCATCAACTGATTCATATGATATATATACATATAGTTTTATAATGTAGTTAACACTTCAAATAAAAACATAGCATTAAGCCTACAACATAAAGTGATGTCTTTCAATGTATTTCTCATAAAACTTTTCATATGAGCAAATTCTCAATTCATAAAAAGATTCCGTCATAATATGCACTATAATCATTATAGGATGTAAAATTTATATATTTTAAAGTTAAATTTTTTACAGTTTAATCATTTATGAACCTGAAGCTGCTCATTCAGAAATCTTGGTTCATAGAAGTGCCTATTTTATACTAATAGAATATCTTAATTGATAGTTAAATTTTTAAAGATCCTGAACAGTAGTGTTTTTTCAGTCTTCATGTAAATGGTCGTGCTGGTGTGACATAATTGTCCATAGAGATGTCTGATTTAATATCCTCCTCAACTCCAGGAAATGATCTGTGTGCATGTGGACTTACAACAATCTTGCTGGGGTTGGGATGACTTCTTGTGTTTTGAAAGAAGATGGGAAATCTAATATCATTTACACAGATCCCAGTAAAAAAAAAGTTAGCTAGAGCCTTGAAGAAAGCCAGTGGTAGCCTTCACTTTAAAAGGGAAACCTCACAGTGAAATACACCTTTGTTCCAAAATGAGAAACGACTTGAATCCATACCCTGGCTGTGAAGTCCACAGCAGCTCCCCGGTTTAGAAGAAGGGTCGCCACGTTGACATTTCCATAGTGTGCGGCTATGTGCAAAGGGGTAAAGCCACTCTATAGAAAGCAAAGAAAATGACCATCAAGAAAGCATGTTACAGACTATGCATTGCAGTCACTGTATCGGTCAGAAAAAAAACACATAGTAACAAACATATGTACTTTAGATGCTAAGTGCTTTAATGAGACTCAATTTTAATGCAATAAAGAGGTAAATAACTGTGCATAAAGAGGTAAACAAATGTCCTTCATTTCTGTCAACAAACATTTCACATTACCTGAGCTACCTGTGAGATTTGTGGTAAACCAAACCATGTTTCTTGAGCAGGTTTAGCATATTCAAGAGAAACAGACCAGGCTTGAAGAATGTGGCTTCGGGCACAGGATTAACATAATTATGAATTTTAAATGGTTTCTTCAAAGAAAGAATCAAAACCAGTATTATTATATTTTTCAAAGCACCAGGTAGCATTGTATCTTTGTGACTATGCGAATATTGTGGCACACTCTTAGAAGGGAGCTACTGTACGGTTCATTTCAAATCAACTTTTTGTCATGTGTCTATCCGGTTCCACAAACTGTTTAGTTAGACTATATCATTATCAGTTTTCAAAAAGTTAAAAAATCGAAATTAAGCAGTATATTTGAGTTCAGCATGAAGAGAAAAAAAAGCAAAGAAAAATTTAGCTGATCCAACTTTGAACGTAGGAATTACACCAAAGTATATTAGTAAAATAAAATGTTATGGAATCAACCATATTACATAAAGTAGTTAGGCATTAGATAACTTTGTTCTCAGAATGTTTTTTAAAACAAATCTGAAAATCTTAAATGGAAGTAAAGCATATTCTTTTACATTTCTTTGTCCAATAAAAGTTTGAATTTTTGCCATTTTCACAATATAAGTCTCTTAACGTACACAAAGTAAAGTACACTACTACCGTACAGAAAGGAATATTATCTGATTATTCTCTTGAGCCTCCACAAATCTTGTTTCTTAATGTAAAAAATACAGAAAACAGTAGAGATTGTTCATTGGCTGCTAAACCCGGTAGTTTTGAGATTATTTTGTATTGTTTTCTTTGAAGCGGGCTCTCGTGCATAGAATTGTTTGTGAGGAATAGCGTCTAAATCACAACCGTTATTTTTCTAGTCACTTGATAGGTAGGATTTGCTGAGTGTGTTCTAAAATGGTTCCAAGGAAATATTCAAATACTCCAAGTAGAAAAAGAAATTTACTCTGTGCTCTCAACTAATAATTTCTAGCCATCTGGAGGCAAGGGCACACGCACACGCACACACACACACACACACACACACACACACAATGTAACTATTCAGTCACTGCAAGGACTCTGATCAAGCTATATTTAATTTGTGTCTACAAGGTATCAGATATTCATTGAAGATGGTGGGGGGAATCTATCTGAAACCTATTATGCTATGAAGTGTAAAACGTTTATATTTTAAGGAAATAATTGACTTTTTTCTCTCATTTTAACTTGATGTTTCTGCTATACCAACATAGCCTAAATGTGGGTCTATTATTCAAGTTGTAGTTTCATTTCAGAGAAACTGCTAGTGAATCATTTTCAAATGATTTAAAAAATAATAATAGTATATTTCGCATTGGTGGCAATGCACCAATTTATTTTCTGGCACAGCCTCATTGCCCATTCATGAGACTGCCACAGGCTATGAGTCTTAAATCAATCCCAGCTGCTTTAAACCCGTTCAAGGCAAGCTGGGAGGCAGAGGCCACCTTTCGACAAGGAATGGAAGGGTTCTCCATCTTTGTTATTCTTTTGTCCTTAGAGCAATATTTTATATCAAATACTGAGAAATAACTTAGTTCTAGTCTCTCCAAAGAGCAATATTTTATATCAAATACTGAGAAATAACTCAGTTCTAGTCTCTCCAAAGAGCAATATTTTATATCAAATACTGAGAAACAACTTAGTTCTAGTCTCTCCAAAGGACCCCCTGGGTGGCACAGAGTTTACATGCTAAGCTGCTAATCAAATGGTTGCAGAAGAAAGACCTGGTGATCTGCTTCAGGAATTTCAACCCTTGAAAGCCCTATTCTATTCAGATACATGGAGGGTCTCCAGGAGCCATTCGATGTAACAACAACTGCTGATTTGAACACAATGTTTACAGTCAGTATGACTTTCAACACTGTATCTTAAACAATCGCCAAAACGCAAAGGAAATGCTAAAGCTATTGAACTCAATAATTAGAAATCAATTTATATATATCATTTCCATCTTGAGCCATGTCACCAAGCAGTTGAACTTTAAAAAATAAAATAAAATAAAATAATAAGTTTCAGACCCATCTACCATTCAAGGATCTGGAACAGGATGAAATGATAGGGATTGTTCCAATACCTTTGTGTTTCAATGGAGAAATTGGATGGAAAGATGATAAAAGAACACATTGTTCTCAGTAAATACTAAATATGACGAGTGCCCCAAATCTCCCATAGTGCCCCACCTCAGTGACCAAATGTAATAGCTGCTAAAATAATCCTCCCAACAAAGGCTCAATCGAGTTCAATCAATACTCATTTGCCTTTGAATACAGCTTAATCTTGGTAGTTTCAACATTATTTGTGTTATTGTGTCTGTAACTGGCAAAGGGGAGATTGCTAGACACACACTCACATGTCTGGACTTGTGGTGATGGATATGAATTATTTTAGTATGAGGAAAACAGATGATTTCATGGCAAGCATTTTAAGACAGCAAGATAAAAGCAGATACTTTGCATATTATATACTCAATATCATTATTGATTATATAGAATGTGGCAAAGAAAAAAATGCATGGAGGGAAGAGTGATTGCTATTAAATAAGATGATACAGCACAGTGGAAAAGAAATGTCCCTATTTTCACTTTGCTTAATTGCAATGTAAGAAATCTCATTAAGAAAATGAGATCACACCTCTTTTTGAAAAAAAATTAATGGGACCCCATCCAACTTAAAATATTCTAATAGTTTCATAGCATACTCTACAGAGATAAACTAATTTGCCTGATAAAATATGCTTTACTGATTGAATATTTCCAATAAGGTACTTTAATTGTTTTTGAATGATCAATTTGCCTTAAAGATGAGGAAAGTTTCCAAATGAATTTTCAAGTAATAAAAGTTCCAATCATTAGTATGCATTAGTGAGCATTAACACTAATCAGACAAAGGAAACATAAAAAATCGCATATCTCGATATAACTGTAATACTGTACCTCAGTTGTCCTATTCACCATCATCTGAAAGCAGCGTTGTATGAGAAAAAGAGGGAAGATATTACACGATGCAAAATCAAGGCAAACACAGAGCTGCTCCCTGCAATAAGTCGTACTGTTTCAACGTGCCAAAAAGGAATTCTTCCGAGAAAATGCATCCTATCACGTCGCAACATCGTATTGCCTTGCAGATTCTGTTTCTGTTACTTATAAGCATAGGCAGTAATGACAGATTTCTTAAAAAGCTGAGCTAAGAAAAGACATTTTTTTCCTGAATTCATCTGGTTTATTTTTTCCAGTTGTTACTGTACCCAGCAGTCAGTCCCCGTCTTACGGAAATACCTCTGAAAGGAACGCATCTTTTCATGACCGAGGCAACTTTGCATTATCATCATGGCCTGCTTCTGTGTCACGCCCTGCGGCAGTCTGGCAGCGGAGTGCCTTTCCACAACGGGCTGCAGCTCTCACCTTGGATTGGACATCAGCGTTGTGATCATTCTGAAGCAGCAGGGCGGCGGATTTGGTGTCGTCTTTCCTGGCGGCGATGTGCAGCGCGGGGAGCCTCACTTTCCCCTTAGTGTCATTCTCCAGGAGGATGGCCACTGCCTGGTTGTGTCCCTGCTGGAGTGCGACGGCGAGCGGAGTGAAGCCATCCTGGGGAAACGGGAGCAGAGAAAAAGGAGCTCACGTGCGGGCATTTGGGATAAGAGACTATGAAATAGCACCAGCAACTTTTAAAGTCACGATTGGGGTTGAAGAGCAATGCACTTAATACCAACTGTGCATTCCAAAGTGCACTGTAATCAGCCCTTGCTCCTACTACCAACTAGTTCCATCAGACTGGCTTCCCCTTCTTCTGTATAATTTGGAAACAAAGTGTATGCACACAAGGTAGGCTCAATAAAGGTTGGTCGACGAAGGTAAAAGGAGATCGTCGCGACAACTCTAAGTGTTGCCTGTTTATATGAAGGAAAGAGGGGGAAGGGTAGAAAGAATGGGCACCTGGTCTGATTAGGGAGCACAGCTGTATTAGTGCCCACAGGGAAGCCAAATAAATAGTTCACTCAGCCACCAGCTCAGAGAAAACCTGCATTGATTAGGGGAAAATGATCACTGGTTGAGGTGTCCAATTATCAACTTGGTTTTGGAACTTTGGGACATAATATGAGATAAAACTCGTTGACAAATTAGGCTCGTTCATAACTTTTGTGCTTATTGATTTAATTTTCTATTATTTAAATCATGTAGGTATAAAATTACATGCGCTGGAACATCAGCTTTCAAAGTTCAATTTGAACAAGAGAGAGAGAGCTAACAAGGAACTGATTGTCTAGCTCAGTCTCTTCCAAGAACCCTGCAGCATGGGAAACAAAAATTCCAAGCCCCACTCCTCCACATCTTTAGTTTTCCTCCTGGCTAATCTCTCAATCCTCAGCTTACCACCAGCCCTCCAGCCCAAATGCCTTGTTTGTTTACTGCAATTTGGTTTTGTCCCAATGAAAACTATATAATGGGTCTCAATGGCCAGAAGACGGTACTTTCTATTTCAAC